GGATAGCCATCTGAACGACACTGTGAAGGAATCATTTTCATAAAGAGCTAGGTAGAGGAGGGTCCATGTACTTAGTGCATAGTAGGGGCCTAATATGTATTTTTGAATGAATGAATAAAGAAAGAAACCATGGTTGCTGGAGCCTTTGGCAACTCAAAGTGCTATATGGACTCTTGCTTTCTGTTCTCAATTTTGCTATCACCTAGAAAGCATTTCCAGAGTCACTGAGTATCAGGGAGAGCTATTACTTTGTTACCTGAACAAGAAGATGCGAGACGATGTGTATCTGTAATGAATGGTATAAGCTCACCTTAGGAATTTAGCTTTTTGTAATTAGTGAGTTTACCTTCATGATGGGTGATGTGGGATCTTATGCAGAACAGGGCTATGTAACTAGATTCAGAGTCTTGGTAATGCAAATGTAGAAGTAAAACTGTTAGTTTTTTTAGCATTGCATAATGTTCAAGACACATTTAGTTTATACATTTAACTTCTTTCGTTCGTAAACTCACTCCATCCCATTGCTCTCTTTCTTAGTGACATAAAACACACTGTGTTTCACAGCAATGGAGACATACTATTGTGTTCATTCTGTCTCATGACTAGTGCACCATCACAAATATACTTCAAGAAGGGAAGCACAAAGAGGAAATTAATCAGCACATTTGTTTGTTTCCATCTTACCTATAAAGAATGGGATTTCCATGGGTAAAATAACTTTGATTTCAATCATCTTTCCCTGAGAAATGATCTCTTAAGGTCACCCATTCAGTTCTCTACTAAACAAATCCAAGACACTGCCATCTACTTAGGCTATTTATGGAACCATAATCTCTAGGGCAGGTAGCAGCTACCCATGAGTGACGGGGAAATGCAAATGGAACCTAAAATGGAGAATGAGATCATGAGGTCTCTAAGAGGAAATATTGTAATTAAGACATCCAAATTCACAGTTGACCTCAGACCTGTAGACCTGACCTGGGGATAGGAATTTCTTATAAGCAATTTCAATAAATGCTCAAATCTGAAATGCTAATGGTATTGTTCTCTCCCTGGAGACAATGTGCTTTCAGTCTACCGAAAATTTATTTGTAGCAGTTACTTCATCTGTTTCGTTTTTTTTCTGCCATGAATTATCTAAAAGCAGGAGAGAAGCTTGGCTTCTCTGCCTCCATTTTTACTTGATGTTATCTAAGCCATTCTGTCTAGAATAACTTTGCAATCACCTTGGGTTCCAGGAAGACGGGACTGAATGATATTTTTATGACAAGGGATTGGAACGACTCCAAAGGAACCGCAGAGTCTTGCAGAACACCCCTGAATAAAGAGTTACCTATAATAATCAGGTTGAACTTTGGAGCCAGAGGAATCATCTCCTGGCAACAAGATTGCTCCTTTCAAGTAGTGACAGTGATGACAACTTCTCCAGAATGTGAGAGAAACAAAACTGGGAATGACTATTCAGTGCACTATTCAGGCACTATTTTGCCCCTTACCCCTAACTCTTCCTCTGTTTAAAGCTAATGCTGATGTCTGTATCTTGAGGGATAGCTGAAGATGAACTGAATTGCTGTCTTCCTGTGGCATCAAGCCACATAATAAATCTTCACTGCTAAATTTATTTCCTAAAGTATTTCCTATCATTTTCACTATGTTTTACCTCTCTTGTTGGATACAAGGACTGAGGTAGATAGCTGTACTGACTTTTCTGATAGCATCAATATTGATACTGTTGGATGGCAATTTATTTCCACATTGAGGAACAAGAAAATATGCTTACTGGAAGTGGCGTTGTGACTCAAGTGGTAGAGTGCTAGCCTTGAGCTGAAGAATTCAGGGACAGCGCCCAGGCCCAGAGTTCAAGCCCCATGACCGACAAAAAAAAGAAAAGAAAAGAAAATAGGTTTACCCGAGTATATGAAGTAAACTGTGTTCACCTTCTATCACAGATCAGTATTCGGCTATGAAGGCACTGTCTTTGAGGTCCCTCTAAGGGGCCAGCTGTGTGAGAGGAGAGCAGGCTTTATTCATCCACAAATTCTCCTTGCAGACTATATAGTTTTTGGCTCATAATGAGCCAAACTTTTTCTAATTTTCCTGCTAAAATATTTAAGAGTGGCGTGATTTTGTAATCCTTGGCACTGGTGAGAAACATGTTGAGTACCACACATGTCTCTTGTTATTTTGCCTTTTAAGGCGTATTGGTATGGAAGTGATATATCTCTTTGTTCTACTTTAAAAGATTCAATGAAATCAATGCTCTTGGAAGATGCACCCTGTTTACACTGGTTGGTTGAACATCTGCTGATCCGCCATCACATAATCTCAAAGGTAAAAATACCTCAGGCTTAAAGACAACTGTAGACTCATTTTCAAAAAATTTAAGTCCTGGGAGGAAATGGAGAGGTTAGGAATGAAATCTTCATACTGCAACATGTCTTCCTTAGTATTCTTTCATTTTTTCAAAAATCTATCTTTTTTTTGAAACACTAGGACATATTTATGATATTCTCTGTTTCTCTGTTTAATTGAATCTTTTTCACTTTCAGATTTGGGCAATTTTATCCTTCATAATTTCTCACAGTAGTTTTATGTAAATGGTTCACATAAGGAAATTGTTTCATACCCTGGAATAGTTAGATCTAGTGATACCATTTCTTTCAAGGCAAATGGATTTAGCTACATTTAACAAGGTTTTTGTACATCCTATTGAGAAGGCTATGCTTGATTGAGGAAAAAAATGCTGGCAAAAGGAAATCTTTTAATAATTTTTCTTATTTTTTCATCTTTGATATTATTGCCACCTTTCCTAAACTATGTAGTTTCTCCTTACTAAATTCTTCTTGAGGTTGGTGAGGCTCATACTTTGTTTCCTATTGTCAGTAATGATTATTGCTTGCAAGCCTGGATCATAAGCATTTCTGACAGTATGCAGATAGTCTATGCCCCTCTCTTTCATCTACCTGGCTTTTTATTTCCTTTCTAATTTCTTGTTTATTTGTTTGCATGTGTTTGTCACTTTTCCTTTACCTGGTGCTTCTTGTGTATCTTTAAGCAATCAGATTCCCAAGAAAGTATATTTTAATTTACTTCAACCTAACCAATGGTAGTAACTGACTCTTAGAAACTAGGCCCAACTTTGCCTAGAGAAATTAAGGCACAGATATTTCCATCAGAGGATTTACATTTTATTAAGACAATCATAATGTCTTGGATCTTGTATGTAACAAGCCATGTGCAGTGTGGTATATGCTCATTAACAGTATCCCCAATGTCCAGGGGAAGTGTAGCTGAGGGACAGTGTTCATTATTCTTACAGGGCTTATTGAATAGAATAGGAAGGTTGTTAAGAATCACAGAAGTCTATCTGAGACTTTGTGTCTGCAGGATGGAGAAGCTGGGTAACACTGTGTCCTTTGCAGAATGAGTAATGGGAGCAGAAGCCAGATTCTGGGAGCTGATGACTAATACTGGAGCTGAAGTAGAAAATACTTTTGGAGGAATGAACAGAGCTGAGTCTGATGTGAAGGAGTGGTTAAATAGTAAAGGATTTTGTGCATTTTGATAAGGCATTTGGGTTTATTCCAAATAAAATAAGCTTAAAAATTCTTGAACAGGGAAGGGAAATGATTAGATTCCTGCTTTAGGAAAGTAGCTCTGATGACATCTAACTCAGGATATGTTGAACTTCAGGTAGGCTGAGGAGAAGAACCATTAGTTAAGAGGAAGACAAAAGTATCAAACAGTATACTATTGTATAATAGAGGTGGGTTAGAACTAAGAGCATTAGATGACTGGCTTTCATAGAGGAGAGGAAGAGGCAAGAAGATGATTCAGAAGTTTTCATGTTTTTGCTATTTTTATTGGTATCTGCTATTTCTGTTGATTCATTTTTCCTTTAAGACCTCATGCTGTGAGATCATGTCTGTCTTTTCTCTGAACTCTCTTGCAACTGTTTTTCTAATAGTGAGTGTGAGTTTTACTAGAGTTTATTATAGAGTTTTATTCCTCCTTTCTAAAAGATTTTTTTCCGGCACATTTTTTATTACATAAAAATATTTACTTTGTAATCACTTGAGAATTACAGAAGAGTTTCAAAATTAGTTCAGTGAGTTCTCTTATGCTTGCCATTTACTCCCCTTGTTAACGTCTTATTTAGACACAGATATTATAGAATTTAAGATTAATCTTAAAAATAAATTATAAGCTGTGTGCTGGTGGCTCATGCCTGTAATCCTAGCTACTCAGGAAGCTGAGATCTGAGGATCATGGTTCAAAATGAGCCCTTGCAGGAAAGTTTGTGATACACTTTTCTCTACTAAACTACTAAAACAAAGAGCTAGATCTGGAGCTGTGGCTCAAGTAGTAGAGCTCTAGTCTTGAGCAAAATGAAGCTCAGAGACAAAGCCCATGACCTGAGTTCAAGCCTAATTACAGACGCAACAGAAAAGAGTAAATTATTATTAAATTACAGTATTTATTTGATTCTTATCATCTTTCCCAGTAATGTCTTTTATTTCCTCTAGGATTGCATACTGTACTAAGCTGCACAATAATCAGGAATATATGTATGTTTGTGTGTGTATGTGTATGTCTCTACTTGTTCCTGACACAAAGCTTCTAAAATTCTTGTAGAGATAGGTGATAGAATATTTTCTTTTAATATCTGACCCAGAGCTTCTAAGACCTTTGTAATTGCCTATCTGTTATGAATATTGGATACAGAGCCTCTTTGGAAAACAATCTTTTGGAATTTCTGGGATGATTTTTTTCCCCCTTAATAAAGTGACTCTTAGTAGGCTTCTAGAAAGACTTAGGAAGGAAACTGGTTTTCAAGGAACCAAGCCTGTGAGCAGATGGCTGGAGTTTTTAACCTCTATCTCTTAACTTCTGGTCAAGCTGATCACCAGTGAACAATTACATGAAAACTACCCCCTATGTAATGAAGCCGCCATGAAAATCCTCAGGTCCTCTGCAGGCATATCACCCCCAATATGCATGTACATATTTTGTCATTTGAAAGCTCTCCAGAAAGTTCCATATGCCTTCCCACATGCCTTATTCTATACATCTCTTCAAATATAGCCTTTATTATAACCCTTATTAATAGAATAGACCAGTAAATGTATTTTTTAATCTATGTGAGACATCATAGGAAAGAAACTGAATCTAAAAAGAGAGTTGTGGTCACCCACATTTATAGCTGGTCTTGTAGAAGTAAGCAAGCACTTCCTACTTTCTCTTACCATCTGAAAGGTGGGGAAGTATGTGGGATCTTGTTCTGGTTCCAAGTAGAGTTATAGGACATCTCTTTGCAGCACCCTTCAGAAAACTTGTTGCATAGGGGGAAACCCTATCCATCTAGTTAGAAGTATTCTGTGTTGTATTTATATAAAAGTAGGAAAAAAAACTTGATTTTTTCTTTTTTTCCTATTTTTATCCTATTTTTCTATTTTTATTTATTTATTTGCCGGTCCTAGAGCTTGAACGCAGGGCCTGAGCACTATCCTTAAGCCTCTCTGTGCTCAAGGCTAGCACCCTTTCACTTGAGCCACAGCGCCACTTCTGGTTTTTTCTGTTTATGAAGTACTGAGGAATTGAACCCAGGGTTTCATGCATGCTAGGCAAGTACTCTACCACTAAGCCATATTCCCAGCCCAATTTTTCCTATTTTTGATAGCGTTATATATTCTATGTCCTCCAATTTGTGACAGTTCTTTAGGTTTTCCTTTTCTTTCATGGCCTTGGCACTTTTGAATATTCTTGGTCTGTTATTTTTGCAAAAGTTCCTCAGTCTGGGTTTGTCTGATGCTTTCTTACCGTTAGATTGAAATCATTCTGTGCTGAAAAGGATTTCATAGCAAGGACATGACCTCAGTGTTTCAAGTCAGAGTCTAGCTGATCTCTGTTTATATCATGGGTAATGTTAGTTTTGATCACTTGGTGAAGGCAATGTTGCAAGAATACAGTAAAGTTGCCATTTTTTGTTCCTCTTCTTTCCTCCCTTCTCCTTCCCTTCTTCTAAGGACAAAACCTAGGGCATTGTACATATTCAGTGTTCTACCAACATCCACAGCTCAAGAGTTTTTCTTTAAGTCATCAGAGCTTTACTTTCTCACAACTCACTTGATAATTCAGGACTCCATTAACTGTGAATTTATCCTGATTCCAAAAGTGGAGGTGTTCACTGGGTGCTTCCAAACACAATCAGTGAGTCACATTTGTTGCCATGGAGGGTCCGTGTTTGTTCCTCATTCTGTGTCTTCCTTCCTCTGTTGTGAGTCAGTAGGAAAAAACCTTTTTTCCTTTGAAATATCTTCTGGCAGAATTGTTCCAGGTAGGGCTACTTAGCCTCAGACCTATAGAACAAAAGCCTTTGGTTGTTGCTTATGACTCTCACATATCCATCGCCCACTTTTCTCCTCTGACATCTACTCATGGAGTGCATCCAGGGGATGTGGCAGAAGATGTTCCCATGAACTTAGAGTTTTCAGAAGGTGAAGAAGACTTTCTTACTGGTCAGTAGCTCGGTGATCACTGTATTCTTCATTTAAAATCAGATGAAATCCAAAAATGTCCTTAACTTTCTTGCAAGTAGACTTGGCCATGTCCCTTTGAGTCACCAGATTTGGCCCTTTATTGTGTTAGTTTTGAACTCTATTGATCTGAAAATAGCCATTCTGCATTTATGATATGAAATTTTCCTAGGATGCTTCCTAGGCTACATAAAGTCAACATAATTCCCTTTTAGTATGACCACCCTTCAAGACTGAAGGCAACTCTTATTTCCTGCTCCCATTCATTGTTTTAGTGCTGAGTAACTTCACGCTGAGGCAGACTGGGTAGTGGCACAAAACTTCCCTGAGCAGTCAGCTATAACCTGAACATTAATCTTCACTTGAAGGTTAGAGAGACCTAAACCATTCAGTAGAAAGGTTGCCTTGCTCCTTTAAAAAGAATTCTAGGGATGTGAGTTAGACATTAGAATCATAAATATAACTAACAGCTAACTGTTGAAAATATAATTTATTTGTACTTCTACTTCTTCTTTAGAAGAATTGAGTTCTCTTGATTATAAAGTCCAATAAAGGTTATAAAAAGACCATTTCATGAAAAAAATTTAAGTGGAAGAAAAAGGCTGAAAAAATATTTAGAAATCAATTATTGTACGATGCCAGGCACTGGTGGCTCACTCCAGTAATCCTAGCTGCTCATGGGGCTGAAAGCTGAGGATTGTGGTTTGAAGCCAGTTCCAGCAGAAAATCCATGAGACTCTTATCTTCAATAAACTACTCAGAAAAAACTGGAAGTGGCACTGTGGCTCAAGTAATAGCCTTGAGCAAAAGGAACTCAGGGACAGCACCCAGGCCCTGAGTTCAAGCCTAGGACTGGCACAAACACACACAACAATACTGTACAAATCATGCACAGACTAGGTAGGATTTCCTTCAGGAATCAAATACATTGAAAGTGATTCAGGCTGGGTGCTGGTGGCTTGTGCCTGTAAATCTTAACTACTTAGGTGGCTGAGATCTGAGGATCATGGTTTGAAGCCAGCCTAGGCAGGATAGTCTGTTGGACTCTTGTCTCTGATAAACTACTCAGAAAAGGCCAAAGTGGCTCTGTGGCTCAAATGATAGAGTGCTAGCCTTGAGCAGAAGAAGCTCAGGGACAGTGCCCAGGCCTAGGGCACAAGCCCTAGGACTAGCAAAAAAAAAGTAATTTCAGAGCTATATGTCATAGCACACACCTATAGTTCTATAGTTCCAGCAACTCAGGAGGTGGAAGTCGGGGGATTGTGGTCTGCAGGAAAAAGTGTGAGATACCCTATATGACAAACAGCTAAAACAAAAAGTGCTAGGACTGTGGCTTAAGTGGTAAATCATTTGCCTGCAACGTGCAAAGTCCTGGCTCAAATCCTACTACTGAAGGAAAAGAAAGAAATGAAACCTAATCCTAAATTTCATAAAAGCAAGAAGTTCAGGAAAATATCTTGTAAATTTGGCCAGTTACATTATTTCCTTTAGCTTTACTTTTCTTGTTTTTATAAAACATGGTATGGATTAAAATAAATCTGACCCCATTTTCATCTCTGAAACATAAAATTATCCTGCTAATTAACATTTTTCACGCTGAGGTTTTTATTATTTTAATTGTGTTCACAGTTAGTTGAATACTTTAGTGAGTTTCATCTTCATTCTTTTTTTTTTTGTGGAACTAGGATTTGACTTATGGCCTAGTGTTTCCTGGAGAGGTATTCTGCCACTTGAGACCACTTTTGTTTTAATTATTTTTCAAGTAGAAGCTTGTGTTTTTTGTTTTTCTTGTTTTGCCTGGGCTGGCCTCAGACCACAATCTTTGTATCTTGGGCTGCCTACATATCTGGGATTATTGGCACCTGTCTCTATTCTTGGTTTGTTGATTAAGATGGGATAGTGACAAATCATCCTGAGATGATCTCCAACTACGATCTTTCTCATCTCTGCCTCTCAAATAGCTGGAGTTAGGGCCAGGAATGTGGCCAGTGGTAGAGTGCTTGCCTTGCATGCATGAAGCCCTGGGTTCAATTCCTCAGTACCACATACACAGAAAAATTCGGAAGTGGCACTCTGGCTCAAGTGGTAGAGTGCTACCCTTGAGCTAAAGAAGCTCAGGCCCTAAGGTCAAGCCCCACAACTGGCAAAAAAACAAACAAACCCAAAACAACAACAAAAATCCAATAGCTGTGATTTTATGCACTAACACAGCTTCTGGCCCTTCTTTATTCTTAACCTGTGAAAAGTTGAAAGAATAAGGAACATTTTGAAAAACAAAATGGGAATGCAACCATAAAATCCAAAATGTAGGAACTTCTAGTTCCTTCAAGAAATAAGGTAGGAGTGGACACACACACACACACACACACACACACATACACACACACACACATTATCTATCTATCTATCTATCTATCTATCTATCTATCTATCTATCTGTAGTATATGTCATCTATTGTACATTACATATGTCAGGATCACTAGTCACTAGTAACATTTTGGGCTGTACAAGTAATTGTTGTTGGATGGCCTATGAGTTTTAAGTATCATCTCTGCCACTTTCCACAAGATGCTGTTGGAAAGCTGTCCCTCCCCTCCTCAATCAAGTTTTAACAACCAAAAAATATCTTCTAGGAACACAAGTTTATAGTCACTGTTATATAGGCTAAAAGAAAGATTGAAATTACACAGCAAAACAAAGTAACTTGTTTGCATTCTGATTTTTCTAAGCCAACTGTGAAGAAACATTATAACACAATTGGATGATATCTGGATACTGGAAAAGAAATGGATATGTGGTCTTATTTAGTGATACTTGTTAAATCGGGATGCGATAATGGTATTGTAATTGTATGTATGGAAGAAATCCATCTTGGTAGTTATATACACTCACTGAGACATTTGTGGTTAAAATGGCATAATATTTTGTATAGTTTCAAAATAATATGGTTGGATGTGTGAGGGAATAGATGAGTAGGTATATAGATTGATTATGTGTTAATAATAACTAGAACTAAAAAATGGTGTTGGGGTGGGGCGAGGGATGGTTCATCATACTGCTCTCTAACTTTTCTGTTTGAGATTTCCCATTACACAATGTTTTGGGAAGTGATAGCTTATCTATCGATGAGGTTGGGGTAGATGGCAGGGTTGACACTGAACAAGATGCAGTCTGCTTATCAGTCAATATGTTGAATCAAAAGTCCTTCATATGACTATTTGAAGATAAATACAAATATATTAAATAAAAATATAAAATAAAAATAATTAAAATCCCCAAAATAAATACAACATGGATAAGGTCTGATTGATTTGATTTGTCTTTTCTTGTGGAGATAAAGTTTAGCTCAGCTACATAAAAATTTCTGTGCCTGGAAGAGCTAGTTAAGTGACATGGGAAAGCAATGAACCAAATCCACAATGTGGGACCTGGAACATGAGAGTGACGTCTTTTTGGAGAAGGCTTGCTTAACCT